CCCCAAAACCCCAAAACCCCAAAACCCCATCTGTAAGAGATTTATTAAATTGTCAAATCATGTAACTTTTAAAATTAAAATACATAAAACCAAATTTTAATCTATTTATTTGAATTCTTCTTCTAATAAATGAACAACAAGCTCTCTCTTATTCAAAGACAGCCCTTAAACCCAGTAGGAGTATCTATTTTGTTAATTAATGATTAAATTATATAGAATAGTGAAGGCAACAATTCTCAGAAGCTATCATCAATTAGAGCTGAATCAATTTCCTAAGAGACTCTGCTCGATTATTAGAATAAATAAAAACTGATTCAAGGAAATCCAAGTGAAATAATATTTAATCAAAAGTTCAAGGAAATTAACCTAAGTTACCATTAGAATCTTGAAAATCTTCAAACTATTGCTAATGATGCAGACAAATATAATAAACTTCTAAATGAAGTGACGAATATGCTTGAAGAAGAGGTGAAATCCAGTCATGACAATGCTATTCTTACCTTGTAAACTGATTGGATGGATACTATGGATTCAATTATTGAAAATGCTGTACACATTAGCGGAATCATAAAGGATGATTTGAATTAATATTCAATTTATAAATTACTTTCAGTTGTTGGGGATGTTCACAAATACTGGTACGGATTTAGAGACACTTAGAGATATCTAACTTCTGATACTGATGAATCATAGAATCTAAAATTTGATCATAGATTTTTCAAAGATGAACTTAACGCTAGAGATAGACTTGTAATACATTGTCTTAATTAATTCATTGTTTTACTAGGAATGCGTTATAGAATTTTTGGACCCAGATTCTGCATAAAAAGCAATTGATTCACTTAACAACTTTACAACTAATAAAGGCTCAACTGTAAGTAAATCAATAGGTTATTGTTATTTTTAATTAGCTAGCAATTGCACCTTTGAGCACAGTTCAGTTTGAGGATGAATAGCAGTAGTAGTAAGATTAGGATTACCAAGAACTAGATTTAAATGGTGATTAAAATTAGGATTATGAAAGACAGTAGCAAGATGGGGAGGAGGAAGATAATATGATTATAGATTAAGACAATGGAAATGTTGAAATGATGATAGAAGACTAGGATCAAAATAATTAGATTATGATTGATGAAGAGTCTCCAAATCAGCAAGCATATGACTTTATTTAAAATTAGGATTCTAATACAAATGGAAATAATTCAATGGCAATAGCTGATCCTACATCACAGCCAATTGTCTATTAAAATACCTAAGAAAAATACATATAACTCTGCATTTCTGGTTTTGGTAAAATTTCTTTATCATAATGCTTAACTAATAGAACTGACTAAAATTACAAGAGAACTTATATATGAACTTCTCCAATTCAGCTTGTACATTCGAGAAATCAAAATTAAATCAGTAAGTGACCTGCCATTATTCGATTAAACTATTGCTATAGGACAATGAATGTATCGTTTAAATTGAAAGAAATGAAGAAAATCTCTAGTACTTGGAGGAAGCCTACATTGAAAAAGCAGAACTTCTCAATGGTGACATAATTATCATCGAAAGAATGTGAAGTATTTCAAACTTTGAGAGCAACAAGAGTGCGGAGTTATAAATAAATCTATAATTAATTAATCATTTAATTTTAATTCAAGTCTTAAATAATCTATACATCAATAAAAAAATGAGCCAAATTTTTTCAAAGACCCACTCTATTAAAAATCAGTAATACTAATTATTTTAACAATTTTAAGTAAGTTAACTAGAAATTTGATCTCATGGAATTTAAGTTAAAAAGATTCCACAAGATAATATCCACTAAGTATGTAACTTAGTGACTATATAGAACCCATTTGTGATAGCTCACAGAGCACACCAGCCATTACTATTGAGAATTCAATAATCCTTGATAACCCTATTCACACAGAAGATCATTAAAAGCTCTCTTAGGAGGATTTGAAATTATTTTATGAGGAGCCTGCTGGTGTATAGTCAACTTTGATGGCCACATAATTTCTTAAGAATGCAAGTCAAATCAATAAATCAGAGCTTTAAAAATCTCTAAGTTTAAGATATATCAAGGGAATCAAATTAAATTTACAAAACTAACCTGAGGAATAGCTGCTATAACATAAAAGAACAAGGAACACTATCACTGGAAATCAATTAATAAGCTCTGTAATTGACTTGAATATGATGACAACTGCAAATTCACTGTAAAATGATCGCTAATTATTAGCATCCTTTGACAAATAAAGGAAAGTATAGTTCAGCAATACCTTGATTTCCATTAATAATGATAAAAGCGTCAATCTCATTCAGGAAAAAGAAAGTCGTAAGCCTTCATTCCTCCTTGAAAAGTGTAGAATACAGCAAATTTTACTATAAAATGTTAAAAAATAATAGAAAAATTCAAGAAACGGGATGATAACTGAAAAATCTGAGTTAAATAAATCAAAAAAGAAGATAATACTAAGAAAAGAAGGAATTGTATAAAATTAGTAGAATTAAAATAAATTGATTTAAAATAAAATGTAATCCTCTATGACATCATTGGTTGAAAATGAAAATAAGCCCACATATAGGATGGGTCCAAAGGTAGATTATGGCTAGAATTAGTCTCCGCAAAAGATTGGGAAGAAGATAAGTGTTTTTGACAGATTACATAGTGGGTTGAAAAGGCAGGTTCTTGAATACTCTGACATCACACTCAAATTAGGGAATTAAAATATTGAGACTAATCAGTCATTAAAGCAATTGAGCACCAGAAAATCACCAGATTAGGCAATGATATCCCCGAAAGCAAATAAATAATCTAATATTAACTCCTAGAGAATGCAAATGTTTTAAACATCTCTAAAGAAAAAGCCTTAAGGTACTCCGGCTGGAAAATTAAGTATAATTCAATAAAAGCAGCAGCATAGAACAATGCAAAGTAACCCAATTACCAGAAACGTCAGCCCTTAGAGAGTATCCAAGAATGAAATGGAAAGATTAGTTACTAACTATAGGTCTACTGACAAAGACTCGATTAAGTATACATAGAGTGTACAGAGCATCGAAAGAATGAAAAAAGAAATATAATCTGTTTTCTAAAGCCCATCGAAATGCTAAAGTCCGAAAAGTAGATAAAGCTCAAGCCATAGAGGAGATAAAAATGTAGTGATAAGATTAAGTCAAGATAGTTTAGCCAGAATGCAGAAAAAATAGTATTTATAATAATTTTCTGGACTAACTAACGAGGAGATCTAAGAAATTAATCAGAAAAGGATGCAATAAGGATTCAGGAATCTGAAATAAAGATATTTCACATCATAGTCATCTAAATCTCTTAAAAATAACATTTATACCGACTCCAACTCAACTTCAAAATTGGATGTAAACACTGATTGTCAGACAAGAACTCGTGGTGACAGTGGCAATTACTTTATCTCACAGAATCAGATACACTAATAATTTGATGTGAATTTCATGTTTCAAAGAGAAAAAAGTAACACTGAGTACTTAGATTAGCCTTAGATGGATTATAATTAGAGGAAGTACAGTGAAAATAAAATAATTGCCTTATGATGATAATCATTAATTATTAAGATTTATAGTATTCAATTTACAAATTTATTAGTTAGTTAATACTTAAAAATTTATTGATAATTTTAATCTTACTAAATAGAGCAATAAATGGACGATGTAAATACCCCCATTGCTTACGATTTGCTTTATATAGAACGATATTCTGATCCCAACTGAAAAAATCTAGGACTTTTTCTTTATGGATGATGAAGAAGAGTAAGAGTAGTATGGATTCTCCAGCAAGAAGGCTAGTATCGCTATTTCAGGCAACATATTGAAAGAAAAAGCAAAAGATGAGGTATTTCCTTAATTCATCCATAACTTACTATTTATTAGGCAGGAAAATACAAGTAGATCTAGGACTTTAAGATTCGAGTTTTGGATTTCATATCTATTTATATTAAGGAGATGATTAAGAGTAAAGAACAGACTTAAGACTCAAAGTTCGATTCTATTGATTTGATTAAGGGTCTCTTGAAGGCAATGTAAGTCGCTCATGCTGACAAGAATGTTATTCTTTTTGAAAGAATAAAGAGTGTCATCTCAATTATGGCTAAAGGATCTTAGCAAAAGGGAGATGAGAATGGTAAAGATAAAGATGAAAATGAAGGTGATGAGAATATCAAGTCCAATAAGATCATTATGACCGAGATTATGAGTCTCCTTCTGAAATAAAACAAGGATCAATAAATGCAAAAGGCATACACAGATACATTCATGTTCCTTACAAAATATTTTTATCAGTCTAACTCTCAAAAACTCTAAAAATTCCTCATCTTTACTTATAAAGAGCTACTTAAGACTTTCCTCTCAGGTAGAACTCAATCTAATACGATTAACGTGAAATTTTTCCAAACTGCCTTTGAGTAAAACCCAACTCTAGGCTGGAATTTTGTTAAGATGCTTTTGAAATGCATTGTTAGTTTAAAGTAAGGCAAAGACAAAACAGAAGGTTAAGCTGAAAGCAGAAAAGAATCAGTATCTGGAGATGCTTTAATGGAAAGTGATGAGAAGAAAAATAAAAAGAAGGATAAGAAAAAAAATAAGAAAGGGGACGATGATGATGAGGCTGAAGGTGATGGTTCTAGATCAAACCATCAAAGATTATAAGCAGTAGAACTATTTGGATTATTGATTAAGGAAAGCTTAAATCATGAACTTGCCAGAGAAGCCCTTTAAAAGAATCTTTAGTTGATTTCAACAGTCATAATTAAGGTGATCGAAACTTGCGACTCTTGGAAAAACAAGAAGGTAAAGAAAACCTAGCAAGTAGTCATTCTCTTTGTTAAAGCTGCGAGAACACTACTTAACCCTAAAAATTAGGAGCCAGTTGACAAAGAGCTAATAAGAAAGGAAGGCCTACTAATCATTAAAGCCATAGAGAAGGAATGCGAGAAGGATAAACAAATGAGCAACCTAAAAGGCAAAATCAAGGAAATTAAGAATATTATAGATCATCTCTGATTCACATGCATTCGCACAGCTATATTTATTGGAATCACTTAATTAAAATTCTTATATTTATCTCACAATATTCATATTTTGTCCCACGGGGTTTTGGGGTTTTGGGGGTTTTGGGG